GAAGGCTGAGTTAATACCAATATTAAGAGCACTGAGACTTATATACCGCTTCACAGAGCTTGACAGCCCTCTCCGAGCTGTTTACAAAATCGGCCTATTGCCCCCAACAGTGTGGCTGCACATTTTACCAACCTCGGAAGGACAGAAGGATGAGTCAACCCTGAGCCGCTCAGAATCGAACTCCCGGAGTAAGCAAGTGAGTTAGCCTGGAGTACCGCATTCTAACTACTGCGCCACCACAGGGAGAGGACTCCTGCTTGAACAAGGGGTTGGACTAGAAGACCTCCAAGGTCCCTTCCGACTCTGTTCTCCTGTTATTGTGGCTTTCGTGTGTCTGCTCTCCCCGTGTAATTTTGCCCCGATGGGATTTTGGAGAACCACGACATCCAGAGTTCCTCATGTTTTAATTTGGGCAGCTCCTATTCACTCTCGTATGTGAGTCATGAAACAATTGATCGGATCCTGACAGATACAAACAACCCTTGTTAAGAAAAGGGCAGCTGAAACCGGTGGTTTATTATACGGTAAAATAAGCTCCAGAGAGCTAAATGATTGTTTTCTCTCGTTCTGCTGCATGGATGAAATAAAAAAAAAAAAAGATTTTTTTTTTTAAAATCAAAGGGAAAGAAACCCGATTTTGCAGATTCTGACAATTACAGCTCTCTCCGGGGGGATCAGCTAGCGAGTGGATCCAGATGGGAAACTGGGCTGAGATATTGTTTGGGGCGACGTGGGGCTGCGATTTGAAAGGACTGATCAAAGAATGAAGAGAAGCAGAAAGAAGCCAGCAGGAGATGTGAAATGGATAGTTAATGAAGCCGAGCCTCATTGGAGAAGCCGAGGGGATTAATGCGAGAGGGAAGAAGGACAGAAATATTAAAGTCGAGTCCACTTGAAATCTCACAGCGTCATATATCATGGTCTAAATTTTGGGGGAGAAAGCAATCGCTTTGAAGAGAGTAGTCCGACTTGCAACCTGCTTTTCACTGCGATGACCCTTTTCGGGGTCTGCTGGGGGTTTGCAAAGGTTCGGGAGAGGCCCCTAGATCCTGTGCAGTTTGGAGAAACCGCAGTCCAGGAGGAAAGCAACTTCAAACTAAGAAATTTCCTAACAGTTAGAGAAATTAATCAGGGCGACAACTTACCTCCAGAAGTTGTGGATGCTCCAGCACTGGGGTTTTTCTAAGAAGAGATTGGATAAATATTTGCCCAGAATGATACAGGATATCCTGCTCGAGCTTGGGGTTGGACTAGAAGACCTCCAAGATCCCTTCCAACTCTTTTATTCTGTTATTTTACTTTCCATTACAGGCAATGCCAAATAACTGGACAGAGTTGCCATTGTTCATGTCTCACGGAGCCTTTTGCTTTTCGTCACTTGGAAGTATCATGGGATGTAATGATTTATTTTTAGCTTTTCAAGTATCACCAGCCTAACCAGAACCGGCTTCTACAGAGGGGGAGATACTTAGCAAAAGTCGCTTTCCTTGGGCTCCTTCAAACGAGAGGACCTGCCCTCATAGGAGGCATCTAAGCTTCAAGCTGACTTCAGCTGCATCTAGAACTTCCTGCATTTTCTCCACCGGATGTCCAACTTCTGCGGTTTGGCTCCAAAGCCTTCATCCTCGTTTCTTTGAGATCACCTTTTTAGTCCATGACGGACACCAGTGGTGGGATTCAAATGTTTTAACTACCGGTTCTGCGGGCGTAACTTGGTGGGCGTGGCAGGGGAACGATATTGCAAAATCCCCATTCCCTCCTCACCCTACATTAACCTGCTTTCCAGCTCCGTTCTCCTGTGCAGGGCAACCAAAGAAGACCCAGCTGATCAGTTGGGACTCAACGGGAGGCAGAGAAGAGATGGGAGCGGGGCCAGTCAGAGGTGGCATTTGTCGATTCTCCGAACTACTCAAAATTTCTGCTACCGGTTCTCCAGAACTGGTCTGAACCTGCTGAACTCCACCTCTGATGGACACCTTCTCACCTAGCAGTTCAAACACAACTGTGTCTCTCTTCAATTCTCAAGTAGATGGCAGTATCTCACTGGTCTTGCTTGATCTTAGGAAGCTAAGGAGAGTTGGTCTGACTAGTACTTGGTTCAATGGGGACCACCTAGAAATTTGAGAATGATAAGACTTGACCTGGTAGTTCAAAACATTAGGAAACCTTATAACACTGCAAGAAAATCAATCCTGTTGACAAAAGATGAGTTTAACCTGGGAGTTATTTTATATTGTTATTTTATTTTAATCTCACCTCGATTGTTTTTATAAGTAACTCAAGGTGGTGAACATACTGATGTAATGGAATGTGGGAAAGGCCTTGGGAGACTGGATGAAGAGAAGCTGCCAAGGAATGGTCAGATAAGAGACAGCGTATGGCCTGCAGCTAGACAGTGAGTAGGGCAAGAAGTTCAGAAGAGACCCTCCCTAGTTTCTCAGGCTGTAAAGGAGACTGGAGGGGGGAGAATGGTACTTTCAGACTTGCAAGACCATTGTTGGCTTCGCTGGGCTAACTAGATAGGAGTCTGACAGGTGGAGAGCCAATTTGGTTCAGTGGTTAAGGCACCAGTCTAGAAAGCAGGACATTGGGAGTTCTAGTCCCACCTTAGCCATGAAAGCCAGCTGGGTGACTTTG